AATCCTAGAAGTATACCTAGGAAAAACTCTTTTGGATATTAGGTTAGGCAAAGAATTTATGATTAAGACCCCAAAAGCAAATGCAACAAAGCCAAAAATAGACAAACTGGACTAAATTAAACTAAACAGCTTCTGCATAGCAAAAGAAATAATCAACAAAGTAAACAGACAACATACAGAATAAGAGAAAATATTTGCAAACTATGAATCTGACTAAGGACTAATATCCAGAATCTACAAGGAACTCAAACAAATCAGCAAGAAAAAAGAAAAAACAACCTCATTAGAAAGTGGACAAATGACATGAACATGCATTTTTCCAAAGAAGATATACAAATGGGATGAAAAATCACCCATGGGGCACAATGTGCAATTCTCAGGCGATGGGTACACCAAAAGCCCAGACTCCACCACTATCCAATACATACATGTAACAGAGTCATCTTGTACCCCCTAAATCTATGAAAATAAAAAAATTGAGAAATGGTTGGATCTTTAATACGCAGTCACTGGTACTATGTATTTGTTTTTGAATCTCTTTGATTACCAGTGGATTTTACAGATATATTATTCCCAGCCCCTTCTTCCTGTTTCGTTGGGAATTGAGGGTGATTGTTTAAACACAGAAAGAGATGAGATTTTTCCGAGGAGAGTGGTTCTGACCACAGAGCCAAGACACCGTGAGCACAGGAGGGGTGCCCTCTGTGCTAACTGCACCGCCCAAATCTACCAACCACCTCCTGGGCTCCATTCAGGGCAGAGCCCAGGGGTCTGGACTTCTGTTTCTTAGAGCCATGTGCCAGATGGGTGGGGTGTTAAGGAAAAAATTATCCAATGCCATTTGTTAAAGCACAATACAGAAGACTTTATTCAGAACCAATACAATAGGTGCAGGGACCACAGGGATGGGATTTTGCAGTGGGGAAAAGAAAATGGTCTGAATGAATACAGCATGGGCAACTGGGAATTTACAGCCGAGGAGCAGGGTGGGAGGGGTCAGTAAATGGAAAATTATTAAGAGGAAACATCAGGGGTAAGGGAGATTCTGGTTAAACCGTTCTAGCTGGGTTCTTACAGTTGGCTGGTGAAGGTGACCAGACATCACCTGGGGATGGTGGAGGATGAGGAACCCGGGCAGACACGGAGGGTGATCAGATACCTGGGGTTAGACTGACTTAGCAGGATTCTTGCTAAAATCGGACAGTGCGGAAGTGAACACAGAAGCCCAGAAGTTGGGTCCAGTTGGAAAAGAGCTCAGGGCAGCCTGAGTGACCAGTGGTGAAGGGAGAACACGGAGTCTGGGCAGACGCTGGGGAAGTAGGGTTCCGGCCAAGAATCACAAAGCGCACGGGCCTTAATTAACGGAGGAATCTCAGATCAGACAGCGCCATTCTCTTTCCTTGAAGAAATGGATCAACAGGGCTGAGTCTCTCCTGGGCTTGAGACCTCGGTCTGGGGAAAACCACAGGTCTGTGCCCTGGGAGAGGCTGAGACCCCTGGTCTGAGGGAGGAGGTGGGGCATGGGACATAGGCAATGCTGCAGGCCCCTCCTCCCTTGTTATCAGACCACACCCTGCTGCCCCAAGGATGTGAGGGGGGTGCCTTCCCCAGGACCCCAGCTCTGCCCGAAACTCACCTGGTGCCCACAGCCTGGCCAGCCTTTCCATTGACTGTGACCCCGAAAAATCTCAGGTCCTTCCCCCGGAACCCAAATGAAAACAAACCCGGGAAGGCAACGCCAACCCCAAGAACCCCAAGGCAAAACCGAAGCCCCAACCTCCCCCCCCCCGGGAACTGGGGGGGCAGATGAGGCCACTGGAGACATCAGATCTGACAGATGCTTTCAACTATCTGGAAGCACTGAGCCCTGCTAGACAGAAAATGGGAAAAGAATGAAGAGCCGCAGGAAGGTAAAAGCCTTTAGAGGTATCCAAGGAAAAGCAGAAAGGCCCTCAGTGCCCAGCAGACTGGGACGGAGGTGCAGACTTCCATGAATAGACAGAAGGAGGAAATGCCGGGAAGACGCCAAGTCATCAGGGATGGGGGATATTAGACCTCCCTTCTCTAGTCAGGGAGTCAGTGTTCTGTGCCATAAATGGGTGCAAGGAGGCCCACCAGGGCCGCAGACCAGAATCCACCACCATGCCAGACTTACCTGGGTATCATCAGATGGTACAGTGCAGAAGGCCTCATCCACCAACCTTTGCACAAACAATTGCTTCTTTAGTGCACTCGCATCTGCAGACTTAGGAGCTCTCAGTTCAGAGTGAGGATATTAAAGAACATCAGCCTAGTCCTGTCCCACCTCCTCTCTCAGTCCTGTACCCCCTTTAGCACCCTCTAATGGCACGGCCTACCTGGGCCAGGAGGGAGAGCAGGGGGTCAGGTGTCAGAGCTGCAGCCCAGCGTCACGGGGGGTGGAGGGGTGGGGGAAGCGTGTCATAGCACCCAGGGTGCAGCCTGCCCTGGAGAACACGAAGGAGACCAGGACTGAGCATTGCGTCAATGCGCCGAAGACCTCTGTGCTGTGCACCTCGCAGACGTGACGATGTGAAGCTCTCGGGGGAATTTTGTGGTTCCCCTTTTGCATGCGGGGAATCTCAGGCTTTGTTTGCAAATTTCTTGCCTGAGAATTGTCAGCCCATTAGTTATGGAAGCAGAACCGGTGAGTTTCTCAGCTTCCCTCTACCCTGTTGATTATCCATCCAGCCATCCATTTGTCATTTGTGTCTGTCTGCCGATCTATCCATGTATCTATGGTCTATGAATCTGTGTATCTACGTATCTATGATCTACCTATGCATTTATCTCTCTCTGATTTATGTATCCGTGTATCTACCTATCCGTCTATCTGTTAATAACGTGTGGCTTTAAGATGGACATGGGTTCAGCCTAGTTGTGAAACATTTCACTAGAAACACCTTCCGGAAACCAAGGCCTCCCTGTGGCTCCATTGGGGAAGCTCGAGTGGGGCCCGAGAGCTGACCATCTCCCTTCCTGTGACACTGTGGACGTTGAGCCCCACGTTGAGGCCCTGTGAGCACACCCTGCACACTTCCTGACTGCAGGGCCTGTCCTGCCACCGCAGCAGGAGGACAAAGAGTCCTGGAGAGTCTAGGCCATGCACCCCCAGCCCACCACCCTCCTGGGCCTTGGTGAGTCTGAGGTGAAAAGGGGAATTTGAGGGTCGGGGGGTGGGAGGATCTGGAAGGGATCCAGGCCCCGTCTGTGGTCCAGGACATGCTGAACCCCTGGGGGAGGAGAGTCACCCCCTGCAGGCACCAGCCCGCTCCTTGTCTCCTGGGTCTGAGCCAACCATGAAGGGATGCGAGGCCTCTTGCGTGTTGTAGAAATTGGGCACGGGGATGAGTCCAGCAGAAGAAAGACTGAGCGGGTGTCCGGTTGAAGGTTGCCTTGGGGCCTTGTCTGGACCTTGTTATAGAGGAAGGAAACCATCGTACTGCGAGTTAAGATCGATTAGCGTGGTTTGGAGACAACAGGCAGCTAAACCTCTCCCTGCAGCACACTGATCCCTGACCGCAGTTTAAGGACACCAGGCAGTGGGCAATGTTCTCACAGGGTCTTCTCTTCCAGTGCTCTGCCTGGGCCAGACGACCCACACACAGGAGGGTGAGTCGCGTCTACATGATGCCTAATCCCCCCACCTCAAGGGCTGCTCTGGACAGGAGCCATGTTGACTCTGGGAGGGAGGGTCCCCAGGGTCCCCCATGTGAATATCCCTTGACAGCCTTGTCTTGACTGCTTCACATACCTGCACTATATCAATAATTGATTTCCAGACATGTCAGGCTCCCAATATCTAAAACTCGACCCATGCTTTGCACCCACATAAACCTGCTTCTCCATTACCCACCTCCACACCCCACATTCTGTTCTCAGCCAACATCGTCAGTCCTGGACTACATGATAGTCATCCTTAATTTTCCCTTATATCTACCCACATTGAATTGGCCACAGAATCCTTTTGATTTTCACTCCCTAAATGTTCTTACATCTACCCACAGCTCTTGCTAGACATCCTCTTCCAAGATCTGAAACTCCACCAGGGATCTTATGGCAGCTCCAGTATATCACCAGGGATATAGGCTCCTTCTTTCTGCTCCGGAATCTTAATTATAGGCCACGAGCATTAAGGTCACCTCTTGATGCAAAATGGATGCTGTTGCTCCAGCCATCACATCTGTCTGCAGACTGGAAGGGGAGGAAAGGCACAAATAAGAAAAAGGCCCTCCTGGCCTAATTGCTACTTTTAAATCGCCCTTCATGGGAATCTGACCCACAAGGCCTTATCTCGTTGGCATAGACATGGTAACAGAACAGCTACACAGAACGGATCCTGCAGTTGCCAAGTATTCTCTGTTGCTCATGAAGCGCTGCACCCAGCTAAAAATGAGATTCAATGATTCAAGTGATTCAGATGAGAGCGTGCAGTGCAGATGTGGTGCAGGCAATCACGGTCTTGCATCATCTCCCTCTTGTCCCTCACGGGAAGGAAAGACTGTTTCCTCACAGTGGACCCTGAGGCCCCCCTCTGCTTCCCTCCTAGGGCCCCTGCCCAGACCCTCCATCTCGGCTGAGCCAGACTCCAAGATTCGCTGGGGACGGCCCGTGACTGTGGTGTGCCGGGGACCTGCCTGGGCTGAAACATTCCACCTGGTGAGGGAGAGCGGAATCCCTAAATTCCTGAATGTTAATGCCGTGCCCGGCCCGTCTGAGGCAGAGGCCAGGTTCCCCATTAACACGTCCAGTGAAGCCAGTGCCGGGCGTTATTACTGCACCTATTGTAAAAGGTCCCGCTGGTCTGAGCGCAGTGAATCCCTGGAGCTGGTGGTGACAGGTGAGGATGTCAGCAGCCCACACCCCCGTCTCAGCTCTGCCTCAGGTTCGTCCCCCGGTCCCTGGGCCCATCCCATCTTCTGTGCTCTGTCCACGGACTCCTCTGCCCTCCTCCTGACCCCAAGCCCACCCCTCCCTCCCGCTCTACACACACGTCCCCTCTGCCCTCACACCTCTTAGGTCTCTGGAGCCCTGGTGTCATCCGGACACCACGGACGGGCTGGGCACTCAGCCCCTGCATTGGGTGGGCACAGAGCTGGCCCTGCTGGGCAGGGTGGGAAGTGGGTTCCCAGGGACTGGGTAGGGGAACAGACGCCCTTCAGGAAGCGTGTATAATTTCTGTCAAGATGGTGTGCGAAACACGTCCTTTCCACGCAGCCGGAACCCGTGGAGGCCCCAGGCCATGGGTCCCCTCTGCTGTGGTCCACCTCCCATTGGGCAGATCACAGGGTCCGGGCTGGCCCCCGACCAGGGCTGGATGGTACTTTGGGGAACCTTCGGGTCGACACCATCAGTGCCTGTGTGTGTGGTTAACCCCCGAGACGTTGCGGAGCAGGGTCTGGGGAGGAGGGTCCCACTCCACTAAGGGATGGAGGTGGGGAACCTTCTTCCTTTAGAGCAGAGCATGTTTGCTCTTCGTTCCGCTGTGATTCACACACCCCAAAGACCTAATGCAGTGTGCTGGGGTGGCCCCCATTATTCAAATTTGGGGCATATCCATTTCATTTACCCTGAGTCTGTAACACTACCCTGATAGTCTAGGGGACCTATGGGCTGGCACTGTGACCCCCCTCGGTGAAGCCAGCCTCAAGGACCCCCTGACCCTGCGCCCAGCTGAGGAGGCTCCTGCCCCACCCACATTAGTCCATGGTGCGGGGACCAGCTGGTTTGTGCTAATCCATCATGGTGCGGCGAGGCAGGGGGGGAGCTTCCAAAGGAGCGTCCAGCCCCTCAGCAGAATACCAGAGGCAGAAGAAGAGATTGGAACCCACCTAGCACCAAGAGGGGCATCCTTGGGTCCCCAGGTGACCCTGTCCCGCTCTCGGGAATCTAGAGGTGGAGAGAATGGGCCAGGTGGGCCTCCGTTGGATGCTGCGGAGTTGGGAGCAAGGCTAACAGGGACAGGCAGGGCCAGCTCAGGCTCTCAGCCCTTCTGCCTGTTCGCAGGGGTCCCGGGGACTCCAGCTCCCCGACCCGAGCCCCTCCTTTGGCTGCTGAGGGGCAGAGAACACAGCCTGGGGCATCCACTCCTGGGGGTTCTATGACGGAGAATAAGCCACGGGGCCCTCAGCCCTGCCCTGGATGGAGCTGAGCATGGGTTTTGTGGGGTCTAGATGGACATTCTCTGAGCACTGACCCCCACATCCCCCCATCACCAACGACGATAGTACAGGACTCTGTTTGGTCCTGGAGGGACGTTTCCTTTTGACAACAGCATGAAGGGGATGGTCTTCTCTTCCCCATTTTGGGGAAATACAATGAGGTGACTGTAGAAATTCCCACAGCGCCTGAGGCAGCCAGACTCCAGACTCAGACCTCTGACCGACAGTCTCCACTGCCCCTGGGGAGGCGTCTTACAGTGTCCCCTCTCAGGCAGCAACAGCAGGACCTTAGCGCCCACCACCCGGAGGGTGAAAATGGATGGTGAGATTAGACAAGAAGGGGGACCGCCTGACACCACGTCTGTTCTGGGCCACCCAGGATGTGTGGACCCCTCGGGGAAGGGCCTTCGGGGACAGACCCTGAGGGGGTGATGATGAGGGAGAGAGGGGGTCTAGGAGCAGTGTGCACGTCTGTGTTTATGTGTGTCTGTGTGTGTCTATATCTATGCATGCACACAGATATGCAGATACGATTTTAAAATATGACAAGCACTAAAAAGATCACAATGATATGGAAGGCTGCTCCTTTAAGGAGACGCACGAGGGCCGTCCAGAAAGTACCCAGAGAGGTAACCGTTCTCGTTTTAACAGTGGCTGGATACTTTCCGGACAGCCCCCGGATGTCCTATACCACGTACCCTTGAAGGGGCTGTTGCCTCAGGGCAGAAAGGCGGCTCTTGACAGGTGAGGAGGATGAGGAGTGGCCGGGCTGCACCCCCACCCAGTCTCCCACGTGTCACAGCCGCCTCTCTGCCACCCTGTGGATGCGGCGGGGTGAAGCAGCCCCCACTGTCTGGCCCTATTTGTCCAGCTGCCTGGGTGGGTTTCAATCCCTTCTTCTCCCTCTGGTATTGGAATGGAGCTTCCAGGAGGAGGAGACCCTGATGTCAGGGTGACATCCCCATGGTCTTTGTACACTGAGGTCTTAGCACCTACAGACCCTGGAGCCCCGAAAATCGCCAACCCCGTGGGAGGTCGGTTCCCGGGGACACACCAGGGTGGAGATCCCAGCACTGGGCCCCACCCCAGCCCATCAGCCCCCAGGGTCCTCGTCACTGTGTGCTCAGGACCACGTCCCCAGGAAAGCCTCAGATACTGGGACAAAAGAGATTTGAGATCCAAGAGGAAATGACACTTGCCCTAGATCCCAGAGCAGAGTTGGAGCAAAGGCTGGTGTGAATTTTCCAGCCTTGCTCTGTTCCTGGGGTTCTCTTGTTGACTGGTTGTGGGACCTGAGCATTGTGAATTCAGGGATCTCGGGGTGCTGTGGGTGGGGGCCGAAGGAGGCTGGGGAGCCAGGGATCAGGGCTTTGCTTATAAAAATATAGTCGTTGGTGGGCTCAGGAATGACAAGGTCAGTCCAAGAAGGGGAGAAGAGGCTGCCCTAGCCCTTCCTAATTTTTTTTTTTTTTTTTGAGACAGAGTCTCACTCTGTTGCCCAGGCTAGAGTGCCGTGGCATCAGCCTAGCTCACAGCAACCTCAGACTTTTGGGCTCAAGCGATCCTCCTGCCTCAGCCTCCCGAGTAGCTGGGACTACAGGCATGTGCCACCATGCCCGGCTAATTTTTTTTTCTATATATATTTTTAGCTATCCAATTAATTTCTTTCTATTTTTGGTAGAGACGGGGGTCTCGCTCTTGCTCAGGCTGGTCTCGAACTCCTGAGCTCAAACCATCCACCCGCCTCGGCCTCCCAGAGAGCTAGGATTACAGGCGTGAGCCACCACGCCCAGCTCCCACTAACTTTTTCTCATTCCTAGCAACCCCCAGTGAGGTCATCCCTCCACCCACAGAAACAGGCTCCCCAACAGGTAAGTCACCTGGCAATGTGCCCAGGGGAAGTGCTGGGCTGGGGGCAGGTTCTGGCCAAGAAAGTGGAGAAGTAGCTCCTATTTCAGGGTCACCCATCAGTGACCTCCTCCTTCTCTCTCCAGCTGGCACTTCCCAGAACTACACGTTGGGGAACTTTGTCCGCATGGGCCTGGCCGGTGTGGTCTTGCTGATCCTGGTGGCGATTCTGGCAGAAGCTTGGCACAGCCAGCGGGACTCCAACGGGGCCCTCAGGGATGGAGACCAGAGAGCGCCCGCCAGAGAGATTAGACCCCAGGGCCCAGGAGGGACATCCCCAAGGTTCTGAGGCTCACCCTGGAGCCCAAGGCGACCCAGAACCCACGTAGACTGTGTGCTTGGGGTAGCCAGCAGGGATGCTGCCCGGCTGGATCCGGATACATTCTGGGAAGTGCATCAGGGAGCAGTGGCTCGGGTACCGGCCTCTCTGCGGCGTGTCAGTCTCCTTCCTCCAGTGACTTTTCTCAACGTCTCATACTCACGATGATTGCCCTTCATCTCACTCTCCCCTGGGTCTCTCTTTCTCCTGTTTCTAAGACAGGATCCTGTTTCCCACCAACCTCCACCTGCCTCTTCACTTTCCTCCTCCTCCCATCCTGTGTCAGGGGCTTCCATGGCTCCGTCCAGGCCATTTCCTCAGCCTTTCCTCCTGTTCCTATGGTGACATCAGCATTTGGGGCTTCCCTTTTACACCTGACCAGACGTTGCCCACGTTGGAATCTCCCGCCTCTCTCCTTCCACCTGGGGCCCCGCATTCCCAGCTGCTTGGTGGGAATTGGGAACTGTTACCTTATGGCCCTGATGGCCCTGGCTTTCCCAGAGACTGACACCTGTCACTGACCTGTACCAGGGTAGCCCAAACTGTACCAAGTTATCCTTGTTCTCTTCTGGTTTTCCTTTGCATAAAATATATCTTTTCATCCCTTCACTTTCAGTTTATGTGTGTCCTTAAACCTAAAGTGTGACTTTTGTAGGCTACAGAGTTGGATCGTATTTTTAAAATCCATTCAGCCATTGTGTGTTATTTGATCACAGAATTTTATCCATGTGCATTTAAAGTGATTATTGATAGGCAAGGACTTAATTCTGTCGTTTTGTTATTGTTTTGGACTGTTTTGTGGTTCCTTTGTACCATCCTCCCTCTATCGCTGTGTCTTCTTTTGTGATTTCAAGATTTTTTTCCCCTAGTTTTATGCTTGAATTTCTTTCCTTTTATTTTTGTGTATTTACTACTGATTTTTTCTTTGTAATTGCCATGAGGCACATATAAATATCTTATAATCAGAGAAGTCTATTTTCAACTGATAACAACTTCATTATATGTGAGAACTCTAACTTCTCCCTCCCCGTATTTCATACTATTGATGTCACAGTTTGATGGTTTTATATATCATGTATCCCTTAACAAATGCTTATAAATTAAATTATTTTAATGCTTTCTTCTTTGAACTCTTATACTAGAGTAAAAGTGATTTATGCACCATCATTACAGTGTTCGAATATTTTGAATTTGACTATTTTTTTATCTTTACAATGAATTTTATACTTTCATATCTTTTCATGTTGTTAGTGTCCTTTTGTTTTAACTTGAAGAACTCTCTTCAGCATTTCTATTAATGTAGTTCTAGTGGGGATGAATTCTCACACCTTTTGTCTGTATGCAAAAGTATTTATCTCTCCTTTATTTCTGAAGGACAGGCTTACTAGACATTATATTCTTGATTGGCAGGGAGTTTTTTTTTGCCTTTAGCCCTTTGAATCAATCATCCAACTCTTTCCTGGCCTGCAAAGTTTCTGCTGAGAAATCTGCTAGTAGTCTTATTAGAGTTCCCTGTGTATGATGGGTTGGTTTTCTGTTGCTGCTTTCAGAATTCTCAATTTTTCTTTGAATTTTGAAAATTGGGTAATAACATGTCCCTGTAAAGATCATTCATCCTTTATCTCTTTGGGGTTATTTTGACTTCATGAATCTGGATGTTCATTTCCCTCCCTGGATTTAGAAATTGTTTGTTGTTATTTCCTTCAATGAACTGTGAACTTTCTGCCCTTTTCTCTTTCTCTGTCCCTTCTAGGACTCCTGTTATGCATATATTGGTTTGCTCAATAGTGTTCCACAAGTCCCAAAGGCTTTCCTTTTTTTTTTCTTTTAATTCCTCTAACTGGGTAATTTCAAACATTATGTCTTCCAGATAATTGATTCTCTCTTATCCTTGATACTGTCTGCTATTGAAGCTCTCTATGGATTTTTCATTTTGATCATTGTGTTTTTTAGCTTCATAATTTTTGTTTGTCTTTTATGGATTTAATTTCTCTGTTGAACTTTTAATTTTTCTTGTGTATGGTTTTCCTAATTTTAATTAGTTATCTAACTGTATTATCTTGTAGCTCACTGAGCTTCTTATGATAATTATATTGAATTATTTTTCAATTATTTTCAATTGTAGATCTCTACTTCCTTAGTGTCAATTACCAGTGTATTATTTTTATTTTCTCTTTGGTAGTGTCATGTTTCCTGACTATTTGTGATGCCTGTGTTCATGCATCGGTATCTCCATAACTGAAGAAGTAGTATTCCAGTATTTACAGACAGGTTTCATCAGGGAAAGCACTTGGCAAGTCAGTACACGTATAGATTTTGTGTGGGCCATGTGGTAGAGTCTGCACTTGGGTGTGCTGCTAGCATCTTGGGGCAGTCTGGCCTTGCGCTTTTGTTGGAAGGTGAATGGGCCTGGTTTCTGGGTGATGGGGGCTGGCCTGCTATAAGGGTTTACTGTACTGGACCTGTTGACTCTGTCTATGGGGCACAGCCTAAAGCCTGAGTCATCAGGGTAATGCTTGGAGCCTGTGTCCGTGGAGATGGCCTGAAGCCTAAGTCTACAGGGGCCAACCTGGCACTGGGGTCATCCTTGAGCCTGAGTCAGTAGAGACGATCCTAGAGCCTGGGTCTGTGGAGGTTGATTAAGCACCAGGGCCTACTGGGTGGGCTTGGACCTTAGGTCTCCTGGCACTGGCCTGGATCTTAGGTCCACTAGAGTCTGGGGCCATAGTAACTAGGATGACAGGCACAGAAATACTTCAGAAGCTGGTAACAAATGAAGTAAGTCTTACAATTGTCTCAGTTTGTTGCCTTGAGAGAATGTCTAGGCTTCAGTGCTTGAATGGGAACTGAGGTAAATCTCCTGAGTTGATGAGATGGAGCAAGATATCTAGGGAGACCAAGATAGCTAGAGCTCATCGCACAAAGTACTGAAGAGAACAGCCCAGAAAGAACTGGAGACCTTCAGAGGATCCTGCCCTGTATTCTTCCATGTTCTGATCAGCACGTACATATGAAGAAATTATCACAGCCTGGGGAAAGAATCATTTAATAGGATTAAAGAGAACAATTTTGTGCTTGCACAAGTGTGTTATTCTATTTTGCATTGCTACAGAGGAAATGCCTGAGGCTGGGTAATTTATAAATATGAAGTTTATTAGGCTCATGGTTCTGCAACCCATATAGGAAGCATTTTGCTAGCATCTGCTTCTGGTGAGGGCTTCAGAAAGCTTCCAATCAATGAAGAAGGCAGAGTGAGAGCAGGCATGTCACATGGTCAGAGAAGGACCAACGGAGGAGGTCATGCCAGGCTTTTTTAAACAACCAGCACTTGGGCAAACTAGTGAACTAATACAGTGAGGACTCACTCTTTATTGCAGAGAGAGAACCAAATCATTCATGAGTGATCTGCCCCCATGACCCAAACACCTCCCACCAGTCCCCACCTCCAACATTGGGGATTGGATTCCAACATGATATTTGGAGGGGCCAAACATCCAAACTATTTCATTCAACCACTGGCCCCCAAATGTCTTGCCTGTCACACACTGAAAAATACCATGACCCCCTTCCAATAGTCCCCCAAAGTCTTAACTCCTTCCAAGCAACAACTCAGAAGTCCAAAGTCCAAAATTTCATCTGAGATTGAAGGCAAGTTCCTGCCACCTCTAAGCCTGTGAGATCAAAAACAAGTTATTTGCTTCCAAGATGTAATGGTGGTACAGACATTGGATAAGCACTCCTATGAAAGAAAGAAAGAAAGAAATCAGCCAAAAGAAAGGGCAACAAGCCCCAAGAAAGTCTGAAAACCAGCAGGGCAAACATTAAATCTAAAAGTTCTAAAATGCGTATTCGAAATTCTTCATCTGTCATTTTAACCATTTCATTTAAGTTGGTATCCATTGCTGAGGAGCTAGTGATTTCTTTTGGGGTTTGACATTAATTTGAATTTGGGGCTATATATTTTATTTTCAATAAATTTTCCTTTAAGACTAAAAAAAAATAAGGAAGTCAGAGGAAGTTCTTGGGAGAAACAAAACCACACACTCGAGCCAGGGGGAAAGTTGTGCTTCCTCTGCCAGTCAGTTAACTGTCTTACAAACATGTCCCAGCCTCCTCCTCCTGGCGTCATCTGTCCTATGATGGCCCGTTTGGCTCCTCCAGTTGAACGAAGGCAGAGAGTGGAGCAGCCCTCAGTTACTCACTCGCTTCTGCTTCACACAATTAACAAACCCAAACAACTCTGCCCCTAAGGCTTCCTTACCCACGTGCCCTGGTCCTTCACCACAGTGTAGGCTCAGTTGGAGGCTGAAGATGTCTTATCTCCACCAATTCAGGGTCCGTCCAGGCCCCCTACTCCAGCCCAGCTCCCCACTGACATTTATTATTCTCATAGCCCCAATCTCCTCTGTTTCTGATCCTTCCCTAATCAAAATCCTTCCACAGGTCTCCATTTTCCTCCAGTGAAGACACGAGGAGAGGGGGCAAGGTGGCTGACTAGAGACATCGCTGGCTGGAGCGTCCCAGAGGGAAGGAAGGGTTTCAGACAAAGTAGAGGGGGGAATGGGCACCACTCAGGTGTAGTTCAGAGGAAGAAGTGCCAGACCCTGCTGGGGACTTCCTGGAGGGGAATTGTGAGGCAGAACAGGAAAAAGAAAAAGAAGAATAGATATTGGCAAGGAACAAACCCAGAGAGGCTCAGAGATCAGTGAAGGGGTAAGGAGGGATCCCTTTTCTCCTTCCCACACAGCTTTGTAATCAGCAGGCTACTGAGTTGTTTGGAAGCCTTTCCACCCTTATGAGCCCAAGCACTGTTGCAACCACTGAATAGTGGGAAGAAATAGTGTGATCCCAGATCTTGGACATTCCAGGCAGGGTTCCTTCCAACGAGAGGGACCAGAGGAGCTGGGGTCCCAGCTCTCTTCCATTCAGACGCTTTTGTTCCCTACCCTTCCCTTGCTCACTGCAGCCAG